AGAAACACGATTTGAGGAATTATTTTAAAAGTGCTTTTGATTATGAAAACTGACATTAATTTTGAAAAATGCTATAAATCTGAAAGGGCCTTGTCTACTTTGGCTTTTCCTTGAAAAGAATCCTTGACAGGTTCAATTATTCCGATTAATTCATAAAAGTTGTCCCAAAGATTTTCCACATCCCTCTCAAATTCATCCCATCTCCTTTGTTTATCATCATAGACTTGCTCATTTACATAGGAAGTAAGCGTTTCAATAAAGGGAGCGGCAATGGCAATTACCCCTCCAGTCTGAGTATAAAGTTGAGAGTTAGGGTCTTCGGTGTCTGATTGGCCCACCAATAGTAAACCACCACCTACTACTGAAGTAGCCCGATTAACTCACTGAACGCCAGTAATTAGTCATCAACTTTTACTGAACTCATCGGGGTGCTTTAATTTACCTAGTTCTGAGGAATTTTCTGTTATTCGTGGTCTTTTTCGCACTGTGTTAAGAAAATTGATGAACCTCTTTTCGTTTCTTTCATACCAATTATCTTCGGCTTCTCTTTCTCATTTATCCAGAAACTTCTTTATATTACCTCGAATAACATATAATCTTTCTAAAGGAATAACCGAAGCGATACCGCTTCTTTGTTCCTCCTTTCATTTAGTAAGGTCGTAATACTTGGTGTCATCTCCCGTTTCCAGATGCCTACCAAGTTCTTTAGCAATCTTTATCGACTTGTGTTTAGATTTGTAATGAAAATCACAATAGATTTCTTTACAACTTTCTGGCAAATCTTCTATTCCTTCCCTCAGGTCAGTATGGCTAATGTAAATTCTCTTTAAATTTTTTAGTTCACTTAAATGCTTTAAACTTCCTTCAAAAGGACAGTATTCAATGTTCAATTCCACCAGTCCTTTAAAGTCTTTTAAGAAATCTAGTTCTGATGTGCTTTCATCAGAAAATTTTATGCTCTTTTGCATATACAACTCTTCTAACTGCTCTTTATTAGGCAAAGACTTTAAAAAATTTGTGTCAGTAAAACGATTATCAGAACAATCAAGGCTAATTAATTTAGGACAACTATTTAAGTCTAAATTGGCTAAAAAATTACCTGAGCAATCTAATTTTTCTAAGTTAGCAAAACCTTCCAACTTTAAAGAACCTTTTAATTTTTTTTCACTAATACTTAATTTAGTTATTTCCTCTCTTCTTTTACCATAATTTTCTTTGTCTATTTTTCGGGTACTTTCACCGTTTCGAGGATAATTATGGTCCAGTCATTCTTGGACATCAATTGCCTCGATAAGGTCAACCAGGTCCTGATTATTTTTTCTTCAAGCTTGATAATCATAAAAAACCTCCTCTTTTTCGTAAGGCGCTAGTTCTTTTAGCAGTTCTTTACAAAGAGATTCTGGTCGCAATTTTGCACTACAATAAATCACTAACTCCACATTTTCCGGCAAGTATTCCAAACCACTACTAATATCAGTATTATTAATATGTAATTCTTCTAACTTAGGCGAGGTTCTCAGTGGCTTTAAACTGCCCTTAAATCTATTTCTAAATTGTTTTTGCTTCTCAGGCTCTCGGAAATAGTTACGAATTTGCAAGTGCTGTAATTTAGGCAAGTCTTGAAACATGTCTAAACCTTGCTCAGAAAAATCACAATCATTAAAATAAATTTCTGTTAATTTGTTTTTGCTAGCCGAAAAATCTATCTCTTTTATTTGCGTTTGACAAACACAAAGATAAGTTAAGTTAGATAAGCCAGTGATATCGCAACCAGTTATTCCTCAATTGAATTGGATATTTAGTTTTTCTAGACTAGTGAAATCACGTAAGTCTAAATCCCCTTCCAATTCCATCGACTTATCATTATTAATCGCTAACTCACCATTAATGATTACTTCCTTAACTTTATTTCTTTGTTCCTTTGGGTAGTTGAAGTTTAACCACTCCTGAGCATTGCGATATTTTTTTCTTAACTCTTCTTTTTTATATTCGCTAATGTTCTTGGAATTACCATATTTTTCTCCTAAGTAATCCCCAAAACTTTTTAACTTAAAAGTTTTTCCCCCTCACTTTTCTTTTTCATCTAACTCAACATCTTTAACATAGCCAACATAGTCAACCAATTCTTTTTTAACACCACTATTTCTTAAGTCTAATGATTCGAGATTACGAAATAAGAAAGTAAAGTTTCAGAAACTATGATTGTTATGAAACTTATTATTGGCTAAATTGAGAGTTTTTAAATTGGTTGGATCACTGGTATCAAAAATTAGTCGAGATAATTGATTATCGTTAACTATCAATTCCTTTAATGATTTGCTGCTATCAGTTAAATCGAGAGAAGTGAGTTGATTATGAGAACAATTTAGTTTTTTTAAATTTTTAAATCCAGTTAGGATTAATTTTCCTTCGAGATTTTGCTTGCTAACGTCTAGGTTTTCAACTTTTTCTCTTTTTTCCGGTGTGTTATATTTTTCTTGATTATAAAGTCATTTTTGTGCGTTTACCATATGTTTATTTTTGATAAGGGTTAACTTCGATTTGGGCTTGGTATTGTTTAGTGTCTTCTTGGTTGTTGAGGCCGATTATGAATTCCTTATCATCTAACTTTTCTAATTTATCGTATCCTTCTTCTATTCTCACTAGATCTAGGCGATGAAAAATATTATCTTTTTCTTTCATTTTTTTTACTATTCTTTTTAAACCTTTGACTTTTTTATCAGTTTTATTTTCCAAATCATCTATTTCCTTTTCCAACTGCTTTACTTGTGATTCTATATTATGATTCCTAACTTTTATTGCTAACAGAGCAAACTCTTTACCGCCGCCATCTTTTCATTCTCACTCTCCTTTATTAGGTATTATCAGAACCCTTCCTTCATTCGCTGCTTCAACGCCTTCCTTGGTTCCTGATAAGGTTAAACTAATTGGCTCTTTGCTATTTTCAATCTTTACTTGAATTTTTCTTCGCCACAATCCACCATCTACTGTTTCTTCTCTTTCTAATTTATAAATGCCACCATCTTTTCAACTTATAGCATACTCTGAGCCAGTTATTCTAATACCTTTATCTTGTATAAAATCAAGTAACTTCTCCTTCTTAGGCTTATATTCCACTTCTATACTTCCTTTGACATTACTTGATCCTTTAGATCCACCAGCACCACCTACTTCCGGCACTCAACACAATCCAGGCTTTTTACTTCCCGAACCATGTCAAGCTAAAGGCTCTCCATATCCATGTTCGGTAGCAGTAAACATAACCTCTCGCAGTACTGATTCCGGATCTTTTTCATAGTTAACCTTCACTTCTTTACCATAAGGCAATAAGCCGATTATTGAGTAGATACCATCTAAGGCAATACTTCTTCCTCTCTCTTTCACTGCTCACAGCCCTTCATTTAGTCTGAGCGATGCTTCATCCCCAATACTATAATTGTCTTTATAATATGCTCAGCCCACTGGGGTAGCAATTTTTTCTCCACAAAGTTTTGCCATACTGTCACATTCTTCATAATGAGCTTCGGAAAATTGTCGTAGTTTTCAAACTAGTGCAATAAATCGGTCATCAATTAAAAAGTCATCAAACATAAAGATGGTTTGTTTAGAAAGAAAGCCTTCTTGGAAAGTCCAAGAGCGTTGAAATCAGTTAGAATCAATTATCTTTTGTAATATTAGTAAAGAATTTTTAACTACTTCATTGGGGTAAATGAGTCCATTTTTATCTTTTACAAAAGAGTTTAATAATTTTTTCATAGTGTCTTCCCCAATACTTGTGTGTATTGCTACCAAAGTCACTGTGCTGTTGCCATAATACTGTCTCATCATGGGAACTTCATGCTCTCTTTCTTTAATATTATCTTGATCAATACACATTTGATCCATTCAAAGGTATTTAATTTCACTCTTCTCATTTTTAAATAAATGAAATTCATTAAGAACTTTGAGAGCCTTCAGAGCCTTATCCAAGGATTTTACCCCACCTAAACTTAATCTTTTTTGGGCGTTTTCAGGACTTCATTTTATATCTTCTTTAGCCGAACCATCTCAAGTATAGGATAAAATAGCATAGTGTTTAGCACTTTCACATTCAACTCTGGTTTTTACCTGGATTGTTTTATCAACTTTAACAGTTAGTAGTGTTTCTTTTAATTTATCTCTAATCTCATTTAATTTCTTTTTTAATTCTTGTCTTTCAAAGCCACTAGCATTCTCTAAATAATTAATATCATTTTTTATCCCTTTTACTTTTTTATCAAGTTGTTCTTGACTAATTATCTCCACATCTTCTTCTAGAGTCTCAATTTGTTTTTTTAACTGTTCCTTTTCCTCTTTACTCAACTTGGATAATTGAGTAGTAAAATCCTTAAGTCCTTCTAAGTCTTTTTTTAACTCTTCAATTTGTCCATTTGCTTCTTCACCCTTAATTTCGTTTCCGATTTCGCAAAGTCTTCGTGGTAATTTACTTGGCGGGAGTTCACCAATAGTTCCCCAACCAAATCCTGCTTCTTCAGATGGATAAATCACCTTACCTTTTACAAAATAATCTTCTTGACTACTTCCTCCCGATTTAGTTTTAGTATTTGCTTTGTATTTGCCTTTTTCTTCTGATAAAATTGGAAGTTTTACTATTGATTTTACCGAAGTATCATGCGATGATGATTTCTCACTTTTTAATAAGGATTTTATGTCATAAAAATTACCCTCATTATAGAATTTTTTTAACTCTTCTAATCGTAAAATTTCTTGTTTAGCTTTATTGAGGTCAATTTTCTCTTTATCATCTAGTTCTTTTTTTTTATTTAATTTTCTTATTGTTTCCTCTTCATTCTTAGTAATATGTTCTATATAAATTTTTTCCAAACTTTTTCATTCCTTTGGTGATGATGTTTCACTTGACTCCAGTTTCATTCCTTCTCTCAAAAAGTTTTTGACATACTCCTTAATATTAACATCATTATTACCACGAATATCAATTTCAAGTAGTACTTCTAGATCCTTTAGACTCTCCAAAGAACCTGCAAATTTATTTGTTTTCGTTGTTCCATCAGTCTTGCCAATAGATAAACTTTTTAATTTAGCAAACTTATTAAAATTCTCTATTTTACCATCAGAAATGTTATTACTGTTAACATTGAAATATTCTAAAGTTTCAGTAGAATACTTATTTTTAACTTTTTCTTCTATTTTGCTAAAAATATCTTTTATACTTTCAAATTCATTATCAGAAGCTTGTAGTTCTTTTAAATTGCAATCCTTATTAAATTTTAACTTCTTCAATTTATTGAAACTGCAATCAATACCTTCCAATTTTGGACAATCAGCCAAGTCAATTTCAATTAGTTGATTATTACGGCAAGTCAAGTACCGCAAGTCATCAAAGCCCTTTAATTTTAATATACCTTCTAACCCCTCGCCACTAATATCTAACTCCCTAATGTCTTTTCTTTTTCTACTTTTGTTTTCCTGACCAAAATTTTCTGTCCACCCACTTTCAGGATACTCTTCATTCAATCAATTTTGGGCATCTATTTTTTTTCACTCTCCTTTTTTTTTATTTGTTTCAGTCAACCTGGACAAGAAATTTTTATAATCTTTCAAGGAGTCATCATGAAATATAGTAAACAACTTATTGCAATTTTCAACGCCCGACAACTCAGTTAATTGGTGGTTATTAGAACAATTAAGTTTGGTTAGATTTTTATTATCTTTCAAGTCAATTTTAACTAGTTTATTATTAGAGCAATCGAGTTCGATAAGTTGGACATTTTTACTTAAGTTTAAATTAGTGAATGAATTATTAGAACAATTTAGTCTCTTGAGTTGGGAACATCTACTTATATCCAAACTAGTTAATTCATTACTAAAGCAATCTAATTCCTCCAAATTTACATACTCACTTAAATCAAGATGTCCCTTTAAACTTTCCGAGTAAAGATTAGTCAGTGCTGTAGCCCTCTTATCTGGATACATCCTATTTAAGAGTTTTTTAGTATTATAAGAGTTTAATTTTTCTTTTATTTTCTCTAATTTACTATTAGTTCTTTCTTTAGTGGAACTGGTAATATGATTCAAACTTTCGGGCAATTCTTCAATAACAACCTCACTAATATCGGTATTTGAGATATGCAACTCTTCTAAATTTTTTAATTTCGCTAAAGGGCTTAGAGAGCCAGAGAAATGATTACATTTTTCTTCTTTGTCATTACCAATTGATAAGGTTTTCAAATTAACAAAACGATTAAAATCTGATAAATCTCGGGGACCATCGGAATTCAAATTATTATCTTTAATATCTAAATAAGTTAGTTTATCAGCATCTAAATGGGAAAGATCTAAATCTTTTATGAGATTGTCATTACAAAAAAGACTTTCTAAATGCTTTAGGTAAGTTAAATCCAATTTGGTAATAATGTTAGAACCACAATTAAGTCTTTTTAACTTTTTATTATCACTCAAATTTAGCCCAGTTAATTCATTATTAGAGCAATCTAATTCCTCTAAATTTGTAAAACCCATTAAACTTAGTTCCTCTTTTAAGCCTTTACTAGCAATTTTTAGTATTTTAATATCTTTTCTTTCTCTTACTGGATAATTATGTTCTAATCAGGTTTGAGCTCGATGATACTCTTTCTTCAATTCTCCTATTTTATCGGCGTCAGAAGGATCACATTTTTTTTCTTCTAAGTAAGCAGCAAAGTCCACTTCTTTTTGTTCTAAACCACCAACTTTAACTCATTCTTCAATTTTATTCCCAAGTTTATCTTTTCATTTTTTATTTCTTTTTCAAGATAAAAGGTCATATTGACCTTCTGTTCCATAATCACTAAGTTGCTTAGAAATTTCTTTTACTTCAGCTTCCTCTCTTTTTCAATCATCCCCAGCCTCACAATAAAAATTTTCTACACTATCTGGCAAATATTCTAGACCTTCACTGATATCAGTATTTTCAATATCTAATCTTCTTAATTTGGTCAAATCTTTCAACAAATTGAGAGAACCCATAAAACGATTAGCAATACCCTCCTTATAATTTTGATTAAGATAATTACTTGTAATAACCAACTCTTCTAAATTTTTAAACCTATTAAAGAGCGTTAATTCACTTTTTAAGAAATTATTGTTATAAAGATATAATTTCTTCAATTTCTCGGGATTTTTTATATTAGCAAAATCAATATCAGTTAAATAATTATCATAACAGTTTAACTCTTCTAAGCCATCAAATCCTTCTAATTTTAAAGAACCCTTGAGGAAATTATTATTAATATCTAATCTTGTGATTTCACTCCTTTTTTTTCCTTCACAACCTGAGTATTTACTTGTTCCCTCTTTAGGAAAGTTCTCATCTAATCATTTCTGGGCATTAGTCAATCTTTTATACTTATTATCAACAAAAGCAAAATCTAACGTTTTTTTTAGTGATTTACTTACTCCACTTTCTGACCCCTCCTTGTCAGAACAATAAATTTCTTTTACATTTTCAGGTAAAAAGTCTAAGCCATTCTCAATATCAATGTTACTTATATCCAAAATTTTTAATTTTCTTAGATCACCTAAAGGTTCAAGGGAGCCAACAAAGCGATTATATTTATTTTCTTTTACTCTTCCCTCCTCAGTTGTTCCTAAATGAAGTTCTTCTAAATTTACTAATTTGTTTAGAAAAGCCAAATCTTGTTCAGAAAAATTATTACTTTCTATGTTTAAGTAAGTTAGATTTTTTGGATCAGGTAAATTGGTTAAAAAACTAGTATCAGTTAACTCGTTGAGATGACATTCTAGTTTGGTCAACTCTGAACAATCACTCAAATCCAAATTAGTTAACTTATTATTAGAGCAATTTAATCCCTTTAAATTCTCAAAACCTTTCAATTCTAATGAACCTTTAAGTCTTTCATTACTAATGATTAATTCAGTAATTTCTTTCCTATTTTCTTGTGGATATTTTCAATTCAACCAAATTTGGGTTTTATTTTCTTCATCATTAAAATTATGCGGAGTATAATCTTTTTCTTTTTTTAGATAAATAGCGAAATCTAATTCATCTATTCTTAAACCTGCTTCCATTCACTGGTTAATCTCCTTACTAGTAAATAATTTCTCTCTTCATTTTTTCCACCTTTCTCTTCAAATTTTAATATCATTATCACAAGGAGCAAGTTGTTCTCTGATCTTAATTATCTGGGGATTAGGATTAAGAGGATTGGGATAAGATTCACTATCAGTATCCAAGTTCTCAACACTTTCTGGTAAGAATTCTAGTCCAAAATCAATATTAGTACTCCCAATACTTAATTCTTTTAGTTTAGTCAAATCTTTTAGAAATTCTAATGAACCAGAAAAAGAAGTAGCAGTAATTCTTAACGTTTCCAAGTTAATAAATTCGCTGAAATAACTTAAATGCAGTCCCTCCCCTAAATGATTATTTCTCTCCAAGAACAAAACTTTTATTTTTTCCTTTGCTAGGGGAGAAATAGTAATCTCTGTAAGTTCATTTTCAGCACAGTGCAACCCCTTTAAATTCACAAAATCAGTTAAATCTAAATGTCCTTTCAAACTTTTTCTATTGATATTTAATTCTTCCACTTCTTCTCTTTTTTTGCCTTCATTTTTTTCATTAGATTCATCTTGGCATATATCATTTTGTGGATAATTTTCGTCTAATCATTCTTGGGCATCTTGCTTTATTATATACTTATTATCATAAAGAATAAAAGAATCTTTTAGAAGACCATCAATATTTTTTTCTAAAATAGCGTTACCACTGATGTCTAATTCCTTCAATTGTGAATTAGAAGAAATATCTAAGTCAGTTAGTTGGTTATTAGAACAATTTAGTTTCTGTATACTAGAAAAATCCTTTAAATCTAATTCGCCTTCTAAGTTTTTGTTGCTGATATCTAATTCCTTAATTTCATTTCTTTCTCCTTTGGGGTAATTAAAATCTAATCAGGTTTGGACTTGGAGATATTCGTTTCTTAACTTTTCTAAATCAGCATTATTTTTTACTCATTGAGAATCAAGAAAATTTTCGTTATCTTCACTTTTTTTTTTCACCAATCACAAAGCAAAGCCAGTTTCTGATGTAGTTAAACCTGCTTCTTTTCATTGTTTAACTTCTTCATTATTGAATCCTTTTCTGTTTCATTCTCTTCAAATATTAATATTACTATCACAAGGAGCAAGTTGTTCCCGAATTTGTTTTACTTTAAAATTACCATCGATGGCATCACAACCTAGCCATTCGATACTATCAGATAAGTATTCTAATCCAGAGTAAATGTCAGTATTACTTATGTTAACTCTTTTTAATTTGGCTAGTTTCTCTAATGGACTCAAGGACCCACTAAACCTATTACGAATTCCTTGCTTTACTTTCCACTCCACAATACTATCCAAGTAAAGTTCTTCTAGGTTAATAAACTTTTCCAAAAAATCTATGTCTTTCTCTTCAAAATCATTACTACCAACATTTAAGAAAATTAACTTCTCAGGACTAATTAAACTACTAAAATCGAAGTTTTTAAGTAAATTAATACCAACATCAAAATAAGTAATATCGGGGCAGTTGATTACTTCCACGTTAGTAAGGTAATTATTTTGACAATTTAATGTTTTTAAATTAGGGAAATTTTCTATTCTTAAATCACCTTCTAGATTTTTATCATAAATATATATTTCTGTTATTTCATTTTTTTCCTCCCCTGGGTAATTTTCACTTAAATATTCTTCTAAATAATCCTGAGCATTTATTAACTTGACAATCTTATTTTTATCCTTTATTTCTAGTTTATTTTCGTCTACAAAATGAGAAATAAAAATCTTTTCCAAATTAGGAAAATCGGATAAGTCCAGTTTTCCTTCTACATTCTCTTTATTAATAGTATAACTCCTTTATATTTTCCCTTTCCTCCTTTGAATATTTTTGGTTAAGTCATTCTTGAGCGTTTTGTTTTTCTTCCTCTTTCTCCTTTGATTCTTCTGAGGCCTCTTCTAATTCTTTCTTATATCTACTTCTCAACTCTTCCATGTCATCATCACCCAAGAACTCTTCAGCAGTAATGTTGTATTTTTTCTTTAACCAATCAGCAAAATCGGCTTCTTCGGGTTTTAGACCAAATTCTATTCATTCTTTAGTTTCTTCGGCAGTAAAACCTTTTTTTTCTCACTCTTTTTTTAGTTCAGATGTAAAATTTGGGTATGTTTCTGTTATTTCTGTTCAGTTTATCATATGTTTTTGAATATTTATTGTTATGTTTAAAAAGTTTGTTTTACAATTACCCTTGGAACTTAATCCAATTATATCTAACTAGGAGTGATTGATTTTTTAAAGTTACGCTAGTTAGATATTTTGCATCGTTTTGGTCATAGGCAACATTTTTTTATTTGCATATAGAGCAGTTAATTCCTTATGCTGATAGGAATATTTAAGTCTATATTTGTAATTTTATACACTTTTTGCCGTCGTCCAGCACACTAACCTTTCTTTTAATTTAGTCAAAAATAATAAATCTTTGCTCGTTTTTGGAGTTAGTTCAATCAGTCGGATAAATTCCTTCACTAGTTTTTTTGTAAAAGAGAAACTTGAAAAATGACGAAAAGTACTCCTCGCCTCACCTCCTTAATTTGGGAGGTTTTTTGATAACTTTTTAGGGATTTTTCTTAACCATCTAACTAAAAAACTCCTGATTTTCGCAAGTGATAGATGATTATTATCAAATTTTCCCTCCAGCATTTAGTTAAAATTATCTTAATAAAATGGACCCAAAAAAAATTAAGGATACTCTTTTACTTCCTAAGACTAACTTTCCACTGAAAAACGCTAATCACTTAGAAACTGAAAAAAAAATTAGAGAATTTTGGGAATCAAAAAAAATTTATCAGCAAGTATTAGAAAATAATAAAAATGGTCCTGCTTTTGTCCTTCATTCTGGTCCTCCCTATGCTAATGGTAAACTTCATATCGGACATTTTTTAAATTTTCTGATTAAAGATATAATTGTCCGATTTCAGGCTTCACAAGGTAATTATTCCCCTTTTTTACTCGGTTGAGATGCTCATGGTTTGCCTATCGAACACAAAATGCTGCAAGTTTATCCGGACAAAAAAAATGATTTGCGACCACTTTGCCATCAATTTGCCTTAGAACAAGCCCAAAATCAACGAGAACAATTGAAAAAATTAGGGCTTTTTACGGATTATGATAAGTATTATATTACTCTGGATAAAAATTATGAAGCCGAACAAATTCGAGTTTTCGGTGAAATGGTGAAAAAAGGATTAATTTATCAAGGGTTTAGACCAATTCAGTGGTCTTGTGGTCATGAAACAGCATTAGCTGAAGCCGAAATAGAATATTTGCCAAAAAAAGATACTTCGCTTTACTTTAAAATTAAGTTAGAAAAAAATTTTGCTTTCGTGGGTCAGGAAGATATTAATCTTTTGGTTTGAACCACCCAACCCTGGACTATTCCGGCTAATCAATTGATTGCTGCAAAAAAAACGGCTTCTTATGCTTTGGTTAATTATAATAATGAGTATTTGATAATTCTGGAAAACAAAATTCCGCTTTTAGAAAAATGACAAGGAGAGAAATTAAAAGTAGAAAAAGTATTTTCAGGAGAAGAATTATTAGGATTAAATTATTTTTACCCTTATCGTAAGGATAAAAAAGGGTATATTGTTGATGGTAGTGATTTTATTGAGGAGGAGGAAGGAACTGGGATAGTTCACTTGGCACCGGCTTTTGGAGCCGAGGATTTTGCGGCAGCCAAAAAGGAAAAATTAATAATTGAGTGTCCGCTGGAACCGAACGGAATTTTTAATGAAAAGATCAAAGTTCCAGAATTAGTTGGTAAACATTACTCGGAAGTAAATAATTACGTTATTGAAGATTTAGAAAGCAGAAATTTAATAATAAAAAAAGAAGTAATTACTCATAGTTATCCCCATGATTGACGGGATAAAAGTCCGCTGGTTTATCGCCTAACTAAACAATGATTTATTAAAATAGAAGCCATAAAAAAAGAGTTGTTAAAAAATATAGAAAAGGTAAAATGGCATCCAAGTCGGACCGAAGAAAAAATGCGACAAATGATAATGGCTCGGGAGGATTGGTGTATTTCCCGCCAGAGAAAATGAGGAGTTCCTATTCCTATTTTATACCGAGATAATGAGCCAATACTTAATTCTGAAATTATTGATTATGTTGCGGAAATAGTGGATAGCCGTGGATCTGATTGTTGGTTTGATGGAAGTATTTTACTGCTTTTGCAAAAGAAATTTCCAGGTTTAATAAATGAAGAAACGATTTTAGGACAGGATATTATGGACGTTTGGCTGGATAGTGGAGTTTCTCATTGGTGTGTTCTACTAAGTCGGTGTCCTCAATAAACTTTAATTGTAATTAAAATCTAATTATATACAAAAATCTTTCATTTTGTGATTAATAAAAAGCGATTATGCCAAAAGTTCAGCAATGACTAGAAACTCAGGAAGAATATAATGCTAAAGAAAAAAGAGGTGAAGTAAAAGCACTAAATATAAGTGGAAAAAACTTGGAAGGTGATTTAGACCTAGTGATTTTATAAATTTAGAAATTTTAGACTGTTCTTACAACCAGTTAAGAACTATCGACTTGAGTAATTGCTCACAATTAAAAGTGCTTGATTGTGGATTTAATGAGTTAACTAGTTTAGAACTAACTAACTTAAATTCTCTGAGAATAATTAATTGCAATGATAATTATTTAAGCAGATTTAATTACTTGTCTTTGAATCCCGAAAAATTAACTACTTTGAACTTATCTGATAATAATCTTTCTAAAGAAGATTTGTCTGTTTTTAGCAGACTCGTCAAATTGGAAGAATTATGAATTGGTGGTGATAACGAAAGCCATTTCGTTCAAAATATTTATAACAAATTTTTTGGATCTCTAAAACCTTTAGAAAGTTTGACACAATTAAAAATATTGCGCATTGATAACACTGATGTTAATGATGGAATTGAATACTTACCTGAAAGTTTGAGGCATATTAGTTATTCTGCTGAAAGAAGGCCTGAGAGCGAAATCAAAGAAATTGCGAAACAGTTAGAGTGGATAGGCAAGTATTTCAATGGTAAACAACTAAAAAAATGAATGGAAGTTGGCTTCCAGCCCAAAGACTATGAGTTTGCTCTCTATTTAAAACAAAAAGGCTATTGCCCTCAGTTAACTCTAAATTATAGAAAATTAAAGGAAGAATATGATAAGGGCCAAGGCTGACTAGACGAAAACTATCCTAGAAAAAAAAGGGATGAAGTTAGTGAAATCTATCTAAATGAACCCGGTTTAGAGGGAAAGTTAGATTTAAGTGATTTTACTTATTGAGGAAGTGTAAAAGTGTATGTTTCTCATTATGTAGACGAAACTAAATTAGAAATAAAAAGCGAGGATGAAAATATCAGGTTTGTCAAATTAATCAATGCTCAAGAATGGTTAGATCAAAATTACCCAAAGGATGGAATAGCACTCATAAGAGAAGGGCGCCCTCTATGGAACAACAAGGGTAAAACTAGGTCTGAAATAACTAAGTTGTATATTGGTGAAAAAAATTTAGAAGGAGATATGGATCTGAGCGGGTTTGAGAATTTAACTATGTTGAATTGCCAGGGAAATAAACTTACTAAATTAGACATAAGCAAAAACGCTAACTTGACTTGACTACTATGCTATGATAATGAACTTACCAATTTAGATGTTAGAAATAACCAGAAACTTGCTGTATTACAATGCTGAGATAACCAACTAAAAGAATTAGACTTATCTAACAATAATAAACTTGTTAAACTTTTTTGCCACGACAATAAACTAATCAACCTAAACTATGCTAGTTGTGAAAAATTAAAAATCCTCAATTATCATAATAATTATTTAGTCAATTTAGATTATTTATCTTTACCATTTGAATGTTTAACTCATCTGGATATAAGAGATAATAACCTTTTAAAACAAGATCGTTCAGTTTTTAGTCGAATGGTTAATTTGGAAAGATTGTACATCGGCAATACTGATAAAAGCAAAATTAAACAAAACATTTACAATCGTTTTGTCGGTTCATTAGCACCATTGGTTAAATTAATTAAATTAGAACGTCTGGACATTAGTAATACTGATATAGATGATGGTTTGAAATACTTGTCCGATACGTTGCAGGAACTAAGATGCTCTGCTGAAGAGAGACCGGGTAGTAAAGTAAAAAGAATAAAAGAACAACTAAGGCCTTATAATGACTATTTTTTAACTTGAAAAAGTGTTCAATTACAACTCCAAGTTCGAAAATTTCAAGAAAAACAATCTCTTTTTGCTGAACAGACAGAAAGTATTAGGTACTTAGAAATAAGAATTCAAGAGTTAACTAACTTAATCAAAACTCAAAAAAGAAAGTTGCTTGATATTTTTGCAAGACTTTTGCCAGAAAAAAAAGAAGTTTTAGAACTAATAAAAAACTTGATTATTACGCATCTAGAGTATATTAGAGTTAGCAAACAAAAGTTTCCATCAGTTAAACTTCGCCGTAAGCGCGACAGAATTCGTGATAAATTAGAAAGCAGTTTGGGAGACAATTTAGTTGAAGAAATCCAAAGCGTCCTCGGCGACTGTGAAGAATTAGCGGTTTGAGAATTGGAACTAAAAACTAGACTTAAAGACAAATCATCATTATTACAACGCCCAAAAATAATGACCACCCCCACCATCCAATTTTAAATTATGAAAGTAAAAAGTAAATTAAAGAA